ATCTTGATTATAAGAAGTGGAATTACTGTTGTCTTCCTATAAGCTGAAAGCGGTCTGGCCATCCTCTTCTGACATCAACAAGACATTTCACCCAGAGAACTGCTGCTCATTCCATATTTTCTTATTTTTAGACCATTCTCTGTAAATCTTACTCAGACCAACACATCTGGTACCAGCAACCATTTCATGTTCAGTCACTTAAACTACCCTTCTTCCCCATTCTGATGCTCGGTTGGAATTTCAGCAGGCTGCTTTGACCATGTCTACATGCCTAGATACATTGAGTTGCTGCCATGTTATTAGCTCATTAGATGCAAGCTGCTGAACATCTATAACTAATAAAGTGTCATGTATTTCATGTACATATGCACATCATGCACATGAAAATGACTGCCTTAGAACTAGCAGATTGAATTCATATGTCTTTAATTTAGTCTCTATGCATTTTTTAGTTACAACACAAAATTAGTTGGTGTTGCATTTAATTTTTTGGTAAGACTATAAAAGTAAAGTAATGTCGCCAGACACATCTGTAACGTATTCACTAATGTCCTGTGATTTATGATGCTGGTTTCCTGTAGGTATTGATAAACTGACAGAGAAGTCCCAAGTATCAGAGGATGGCACCATGGTGTCAGTTCCAAAGACAGACTCCCCAAACGCTGTCCACCCAGACCAAAGTGCAGTCACTGGGACCAGCGACACGGAGTCTAACTCAGGCAGGGACAATGAAGTAAGTGCCTTTTTATGGGGTGTATTGGTTTGCTCCAGTGGAAAGAGGATATTTCTAAATGCATTTATTCACACTATTAGGATGTTTTCTACACTGAAGCAGAAATGGAGAGAAGACGTTTGTCAAGTGCATCGTCAACGTCCTTTTGGGCTCCCACACCAGACTGGGTTTGCTCTCAGCCTCTCATTCAGTTTTTGTTAGATGTTGGATATTTAGAGGAATGAGAAGTCAATTTAGATTTGCTCGCTTTTATCCCAGGTCCTCTCTTGGAAATGTAAGCTACCCCTGCAGACCATCATGAGACTTCTACAGGTGCTGGTGCCTCAGGTGGAGAAAATCTGCATCGACAAGTATGCAAACACTTCGCTTAGCTTTGATCGGACTGCAAAAAGCATATTCTAACTGTTTTGATATATTACTAAAAATGCTGTAAACGTCTACTGTGTCTTTCATTGCAGAGGTCTAACAGATGAATCAGAGATCCTAAAGTTTCTACAGCATGGCACATTAGTGGGCCTGCTGCCGGTTCCTCACCCCATCCTCATTAGGAAATATCAGGCCAATGCAGGCACTGCCATGTGGTTTCGCACCTACATGTGGGGCGTCGTTTATTTGCGGTAAGTTAGGCATTTTAGGTGAGAATTATGGACACTGATATCCTCAAAAGCAAATTAAAACGAATCCATTATTTTCTTTTTTTCTGTTTCAGCAATGTTGATCCTCCGATCTGGTATGACACTGATGTCCGACTATTTGAGATCCAGAGGATGTAGACTGTCAATGAAAATGAATCTAGGGTTCTTCATCCCTTCAGTATCTGCTGGTTTTGTGGGAAACCTCATTGTGTTGAAACTATCCTTGTGAACCTGTTGCTTGCTTCTGACACCACCAAACTACAGGGGAGTCATTCAGATGAGTGGAGTAGAAATTTCTCTCTATATTAAGATAGAAAGTGTTTGAATTATCACTAGTGTCCATAAACAACTGTGTTTGTACATTTCTTCAAACCTTAAGACCGCAGAATGTTTGTCAAAGCACTGAGATGACTGGAGTGTTTGGTAAGGGCTGAGGCAAATTTTAGCAGTATAAAAGTGAAAGAGGGAACATTGTTTAACTTTCAAAGACGTGTAACATATCCTGTATAGCTCAAAGTTATCATTCCAATATTATTTGTTGTACTTGAAATGCTTTAAAGTGAACTTGCACCTTTTTTAGTTGTCGTTTGTGGTTGAAGTTTATGTGATTATATTTTGAGACAGATTGTATGTTTTCATGTATATGACAAGGTTTCATTTTTGAGAAATGCTTATAATGTTCTATGCTGAAATTGTATTTTCCTTAAAGTGTCCTGAAAAAAAAATATAATATATAATATGTATCTGCAAATTCTGCATTGGTCACATTATGTATGACAGTGCTGTAAAGCAAAATCTGAAATTTCAGGTGTGTAAACGGTTCATAAAGTAGCAGTAGTTCTGCACAAAGTCCAATTCTGCCATCTGTAAAAGCGCCACCTTCACATGTTAACCACTAGGTGGCATCATGCTCCTGTTCGTCACTTAATCTGCAAAAGGTTTGATATATGAACACATTTGCATCGCCACATATCAAATCCCTGCACTGAATCCTTCTATAGGGAAAACTGAAAACACAAAGACATTTTTAAAATTTATTTATTAAAGGTAGTTAAATAACATGTTAAATGTTTTGATACATAAAATTGTTCACTTTTTATACACCTAAATCAAAATAATGATTACGAGATTAGTCAATCTCTTAGATAAACTTCAAAGAGACTGGCCACAGCGTGCATGCGATAGAAGATTCCAAAAGGAAGTCCAATATTCACAATTGCGTTCCACATTGTGTAATTGTAAAAGTATATCTCAGCGGAGTGGTCGAACTGGGGACGAGCCCCAAATGCAGGCATGATCCATAGCTGTCAATATAGAAAAAGGGAATTAGACACATTTTGACAGAAAACACTGGTAGTTGTTACAACTGTAGATAGTCCAATAAGCACAAATACAACTTACAATTATGTTTGCCAGGAGCAAAAAGGCACACACTTCCCTCAGAACTCTCCTTTTCCAACTTGGCTTTTTAGAAATTGAGTATCTTGATATTTGACCCTCCACGTCATTGGCCATTTCAGCGTGGTCTTGAAAAGCACGGGCATTTGCCGGCATTACATTGATGGGCTCCCGATGGAGGCCTTCAATGATGAAATAGTTCTGAAGGCCAATTTCAACCACCAATACCACAGCCCAGGCCAGGTTGAGCACATTTAGGTAACCCTGGGCTCCCGTCGCCACTGTAGCCACAAGGCTGAAATAGCTAATGATGAATTGCCCCAAAGAGGATGCCACCAGTAGCCCCACGTCCAGGCTGCGAGTGGGGTTTTTGTCTGATACATATTCCCTGCGGTCCAGTCTGTAAATAATGCAGCCAATCATAGTGGAGAGGGACATCAAGCTAACAATCACTATGTTCATAATGAAATGAATCAGCAGGGCCTTATTTCGTTTATCCTTGTCTTCTTTGAGTATGTTAATCTTGTACAGTACAAATGTAACAAGTCCTGCCACCACCAGGAGTAGTCCTGCTACAGGCCCTACGAAAACATCTTTCACATAGAAGTTAAATTTGTAGTGCTTGTGATGCTCAACAATTCTGCCCACGTTTTTCCACATTATGTAGGTCATGGCAGAAGCAAAGAGGCTGTATTCTATGTTGAAAGGGTACAGGTAGTAGAAGGCCTCTTTGAAGGTCTCACATGCCATATGACTGCATGTGCACTTCTTGGCACCGTAGTTGGCTGGAACAGAAAGAGCAACCATCAGTTATTTTCCTCGTAAACACTGACCTTCGTCTAAAAGCAGGAAGCTACGGCTCAATACCTCTGTACAACTTGTGCGAGACACTTATATTCAGATGAGTTATCTCAGTTTGGTGAATCGACTCCTCAGTCACTGCTGCCATCCACACCACCAGGTTAGTTGAAAGTGTAAGAGTAAGCCCACATCTGAAGAGGGAAAAAAGATAAGGAATGTTATATACTCTGAAATGAGTGAACGGAGGTGATGAAATGTATAAAAGAATCTACCGTGTTAAGCTGGTGTGTAGCTGCACGCAGTCCCTTGAATGAAACCACAGGAAGTAGGTCTAAAAGAGACAACTTTTAAAAGTTTTACCAATGCAGCATGCAAGAGCGCGTATATTCTTACAATTTTCATAACATGCAACAACCTGGAAAAATAAAAACACAGCTTGCACAATGGGGTAGGCTACTTTAACAGGAGAATCACAGTGAAGGTAGCCCACATAAGTGGCAATCTTGAAGATGTCCATGAGGAAACTAAGGAGGCCGAACAGCACAAGCCCAGCTGCAACATATTAAAAAAAAAAAAAAAAATAATTAGGGGTTTAAGCTGAAATGAGCAATCAGAAACAGAGCCAGAAAGCACTGCTCGGACTTCTCACCCTTGAGCCACACAGGCCCAGCATGGCGATCTTTAAATAAGACTGCACGATCCTTTCGGGAGGTGACGACCATGTAAAACAGCATCCACAACATAGTAAGGACGAGGAGGGTGATGAGGAAGATTTGCCGGTGCACTGGTGTTATGGCCACAACATTGAAGGCGCTGCTGCTGACCAGAGCACAGCCAAGCATCAGGATGTTGATGCAAATTATCCCAGACAGGAGCCATTCACCACCTTGGGGGGTCCTTTCTTTAACTACTTCCACATCGTGTCCACTTTCACTAGCACCATCCACAGTGGGAGGATGGGGAGGACTGGGCAAATGCTGGATGCTGTCCACTTGTGTCACAGTTCCACCATTTGATGGATGAGCCGTCATAACAACGTTTGGCATTTTCCTACAAAAGATCATGTGCTTTAGCTTAAGTGAAGCTGTAATTATCCCATATCTTTACAGGTTAACCGCTGAGAAATACAAGATTTTATTATGAGCCTACTAAAGAAAATAAGCGGGGAAGGACTATAAAAGCGCACTCAAGAGTACTAAAACACCACATGAGTCTTTTAGTATGGAAAACAACGATATTTCAGCTTTAGCTACAGGATTAATATTATTTACATCCACCACTATTTTAAATGTGATTGTCCAAAGAGAGAGAGAGAGAGAGAGAGAGAGAGAGAGAGAGAGAGAGAGAGAGAGAGAAAAGAAAGACAGAAAGAAAAGTGAATCTTTGAAAACTGATCTACAGCGTTCGTGTTGGACTTTCAAACTAGTGTCAAGATGCCAGAGGGTGCATGTTGCTTTCGGGTTAAAGTTTATCTAAACTGAACACTGAGTTGGAAAACACGGCATAGCCTAAGTGGATCAGCGCTCTAGTCTGCGCAGGTCAGATTGCACAGAAAGCCTCTGCAGTGCTCACGTAAACGACTAAAAACAGGTGCAATTAGTTTTGGCTGATTGTTTAATCTCTCACCGCACCCAAAGGAGACTTACACCACATATTTTGGTGTTTTTCCCCAATCGTCACTTGTGCTGGTCAGGTCCTGTTTCGTATTTGGTCGTTATTCCATAAACAACGAACTCTACTAGCTCGTGACACTGGCGCACGTCAGGAACTGCCTGAAGGGAAATCCAAGTGCGACGGGTACTTGAGTCTGTTTACTATGCAGATTCTCGCAGCTTCCAAGAAGGAGCTATTTTGGTCGTGCGGACTGTAAGTGTAGTCCTGTTGACCTTAGACATTTGAAAATTCAAGAAGTAAACTTGATGGCTTTCCTTCGAATGCAAAATAAACAATGTAAATGATATGGACTTTGATGCATTCATATTAAGCATCTGAATGGATTTATGTGCATATAAATGCTCATTACTCACTGAAAATGAATTAGATGATGGTTAATCATTAAGGTGCGTATCTGATGCTGGTAGCAGTCAAATTAATTATGTTTGACACACACACACACACACACACACACACACACACACACACACAATATATATATATATATATATATATATATAATTTAGACCAGAAGCTAAATTATTGCATCGATCAGAGAATTAGCATTACTGACGAAGCAGAATTATCGCCACATTTGATTGCATTGGACTTAATGTAATTCAGTGAGTATACAAATAGCAGTGTCAGTGGCAATATAAACCTAAATAATTCATTTCTACTTTAGTTCTAAGCAGAAATGCATTGAAGGGAAAATGCAGTGGTAAGGATGTTTTGGTATTATCAATAAAACCGGTCTGTTGTAGCAGAAAATGTAAATGTTTTACCTGCTTGAGCAGGCTGATTTGGTTTAGTGCCCTTAGTAAGCTGTGTGCACTCGTGTTAGTCACAAGATTTGAAACAAAGGTCACGCAATATTCTTTTAGGCTGTCACAATTACCCAGGATGCTGAAAATACCAGACATGCTCTTGCTCTTCTGTCTTGTTGGGGTAGCAAATGCCCTATATAAACAGTGGATTCCTGATACAAACTATGAGAATAAGACCAACTGGGACAAAGGCGATATTCCTTGTGGCAATGACATAGTTCAGTTTTCGGCTCAAAGAAAAGTGTCTGTGTTTGTGGAGACCACTCATGCTGTGCTGGAGATGAGGTTGCCAGTTGATGGGGAGTTCATCCTGAATTCAGGAGCTGGATTTTATGCTGTCACCGGGCAGGACCCAGGCTGTGGAACGGGTGTCACGACGGAGTTTAAAGATTCAGAGTCATTTCAGTGGTACGATCCAACTCTGTGGCAGGCAGCTGCAACTCTGAATGACCTAGAGCAAGGAAACTTCCTATTCTCTGTCCACGAGGAGAGCGTCCCCTGCCATTACGATGATGTTGTTTTTAAAGCCCTCTCCTCCTTCAGAGTGGACACCAGCTCTAGTCATTCTAGCATCACTGTCAAATCTGTGTCTGTGCTGGGGGATACATTTACTACCCAGTCTGAGTTCTCCCAGTATCTCAGCTCAAGTTTGGGCAAACTGCAGTTTCATGGATCCTCTGCTGTTGCTGTCGGGAACCCAGCCTGTGAGGATCCCTCTGGTTGTGACTGTGGGAATTCTGTACACCATCAGCAGATCTGTAGCACAGTAACGTGTGACTCTCCAAACTGTAAGAACCCTCTTCGCCCAACTGGACACTGTTGTGATGTGTGTGGTGCCATTGTTACCCTCCTTTTTGATGACGGTTTTAACCTTCAGACTTACAGGGAACGAATCCGTCACCTTTTTCTTGCCCTGCCACAATACCAGTCCATTGAGCTGGGGATGTCCAAAGTCTTAAAGCCACAGCGGCTGATGGGGATAATCAGTCTTGGTACGTTATCTGAAATCCAGATAGTAATACTGGATGGAGAGCAGGGAATACAGTCAGCAGCTTTGGCCCAGGACATAATGAAGGATGCTCGTTCTCATGGCTCTAATTTGGGAATCTCCGGAGTTGAAGTTCAGACCTCTTCTGAGGAAACTGGAGATAGTGCAGGGTTGGCAGTTGGAGTTGTTTTTGGAGTTTTACTGCTGATTACACTCATTATCTTGGGTGTCTTGGTTCATAAGGGGGTTGTTCAAATGCCAACACTGAACAGATTCAAAAATAGCAATAACATGCCAGATCTCGGTGGACCTCTCGACCATGGGTTTGATAATCCTATGTTTGACCAGCCCACTATGATGCCTGACATTCCTAGTCTATATGGGACTGGAGTTAGTAATTCAATCTCCATGACTCAGACAGCTGTACACTTTGTAAACCCAGCTTATGATGAGAGTGAAACAGATTTCACTGCCTAAAGATGAACATATGTTAGCATTTAATGACAGTACTTTTGTTTCAAATTGAATGATTTTAAATCCCACAAATTAAAGTATATAGTTGTATAGTTTTACCACCACTGAACAATGCAAATAACCTAGGCAACAGGCACTAAATCTTCGAATAACCAAATAAATCTGTAACGCAAATAAAAGAATTGCTGGCAGACAATTGTGTGTTTTCCTCTTCATTCGCATCATATTTAAGAGCAATAAAGTTTCAAAAAGCTGCAGTAAATCCTTAACACTTCATGTGCTGCATAGCTTTCTCCATGGTGCGCATTTACAACCACTATTCAATTTAAACTTCGATGTTATCTATTGTGGGGGTGAAAAAGCTCTTTATACAATATCTTTACAAAGCTTGTTATGTAACATCAATAAATAGTCATAATAGACCATTTCTTTTCTTTTACAAGCTCACAGTGGAGGCAGCTCATAATCTGTTAGCATATACATCATTCTGCATTGACCAGAGCAAAGGTTCAGTGAAGTCGGCCATGAATTTATGGAGCAGCTTGGCAGGACCAGTAACATTATGAAATGAAACTGAGCCTTGGTGATAGGCAACATATTAACCAATCCTGCTAATATCAGTAGTTTCCAAGATGGGCTCCACACCAGTATGCCAGGCAGAAAAACATCCGCTGTTCTTTCCCACGCACCAGGAAAAATTGTTCCCGGTGATGCAGCTGCTACTTTACTCTCCCTTTCGATCGATACTCTTGTGTGCGACAACCTTTCTCACTCAGCTCTGCTTCAATATAGTGTTTTCCCAAGTAAAGGCTCTGTAAATTCATGGCTTGGCATGAGTATTCAAAGTCGGGATGTTCCGGGTATCTGTGCTGCCATGGGCTGATGTTGGTCAGGTGTCTCGGTCAAAGGTCAAACTTCTGGAGTCTTAAAAAAAAAAGGGGGAAATAGACAATGTGGAAATAAAAATAAGATATGACAAGCGGTGGGTGGGTGATGTATTGAAGGGTTATTTGCATTTTAAGAAGTCCTCTCTGGTGTCAGGGTTAGGCAGGGTAGAAAGATGAGGGACTGACACGGATGATTTAGTACCATTAATTTGACATAGAGGTTTTTCTCATGATTGTTTACACTATATTGAATTTCAGCTCTGTGTGGCAGTACTACAGCAGTGCTCTGAGCTAAATGCTAATGTTAGCATGCAAAATTTGCACACAACACAAAGTAAACTGTGTTTGTTTTATGCTTAATCCAGAAACAATAAACCACTTTAGTTTACATTTTCCAAGCATGATGTCGAAAAATAAAGAAAAAAATGGGTCATTAACGTCACCCTAAGAAAAACACGAACGCCTGCGATGTAAGACTTTTCATTCAAAGGGAAAAATATGAAACTTGCAGTGTTGCTGAATAAATTCATTATCAAAGTAGTCATGATAGTCTGGATCAGACACTGTAGACACAGAAGACACTGATACACACCAAGTGTCATCCCTAGTGTCATGAATGTAACCCCCCCCCCCCAAAAAAAAAAAACCCAAACAAACAAAACAAAAAACACGCTGTAAGATACACTGAACAATTCGTATGAGGCCTTTTCCAGTATTAGGCGTGGAACCACCTTGGAAACGACTGATATTACCAGGATTGGTTTATATCTTGACTTTCACCGAGGCTCAAATAACCAAATATGAGGTGTGGAACAAAACCCATGTTGTGAGTGAAACTCACCACTTTTGCAAATCATGCTCAGCTTTCCACTGCAGGAGGAAAAAAAATCAGGTTGTACAGTTCCTGTGTAATATCAGTTACTATTTGGGTGTAAAAAGATTCGATGATCCATGCAGTTCATTTTCACATTAGGTAGACATACAGCAGTCATTCCTTTTTTCCACTCTGAGTACCCTTGTAACAAACCAATTTAATTTAATTTAATTATATTTGAATATGAAAGGACTTTATATTGCAAGGTAAGACCTTTATGGAAATTGTTATTTTCATAAAAAGAAAATAGCAATTTGATTGTGAGTGGCAGTGGGAACAAAAAACAAACCAAAAACCCTTATACAGAAGAATCCTCTGTACAAACCAGGGTCAGGAGGGTCACCTTCTGCTTTGACTGCTTTAGGTGATGGGATAGTAAAGAGAAAAGATGAAAGAGAGGCAACAAACCATGTAAGAATTATGACTTGGCAGGTTGGTGTGGGCAGTCACTGCAGATCAGGAACATGCAGGTCTGGAATCAGAGAAACCCGCAGCTTACATAGAGAGAAGAGGGCAAGCAGAAGACACGTGTACACAAACAAAAGAAACATATATCAGGTAACCGATGCATTGTTTATTGTCATTGCTTTTTTTCTCTCTTTGCTTTTGCCTCACCATAGTTAGTTAAGGTAGATTGCTGACCTATGTGCGGTTCTGCAGGTTTTTCCCTCCACACTTCTGTCATTGTTGAAAAATGCCATGATGTGAAATTTCTTTGGTTTATCAAAAAAAACAACATCAAAAGAAACATTGTACTTCTTCTGTATAAATATCCCAAAAGTTGAAATTCCTGTTCTTTGTATACTGTAAACACATTCGTTTCCAAAATAAAGTCTTTGTCTTAAAATGCCACACTATTACAATAGGCTGTGATGCCAAAAAGGTTTCACACCCACTTGACTATATGTAATTCCTCTACTTATAATACAATAACCTGAATGTTTCATATGTTTTCTACCTGTAGGAAGTCAATATCAGACTTTCTCCTGGACACTTTGTTTATTTCAGTCAATGTTCTCATCACCTATGCTCTCTTTTGCCCCAGGTGTGCTTGAATGCCTTCAGTCTGTCTATGGGCCTGTTTTTTGTTCTCCTTAAGGCACTTCCACTGCCCCTTTTCTGGCCTTCTCCACAGCTCTCTGCAGCCTAGGGAACAACTGTTTAATGATAACACAAACCTGAAGGAAACTGGACAAAATCATAATGCAACTAGATGAATGAATAAATCATGCAGTCAATGCTCTGCGGTGTTTCAACTGCCTTATCAACTCCTGAGGCACTCTCACTAATCTCCCTCAGTTCCTTTGGTGCTCAGTCTACAAAAAAAAAAGCACAAAAAATAACACATGCTACATCTACTGACTAAGTGAGCCCCAGATTGTAAGTAAAAGATTGCAAAACCATTGTATTCCAAATGAGTTTTACTCCTTTTTTAGGAACATTTTTCCCCTGTAAATAAATTATATTGTGTTGTATCTTTGAGACCTCAATTCGTGCTTCTCTCTCTCGCAGTCCAGACAATTGAATCAGTCCTCCATCAGGAAGAAATAGTTGAGAGGAAGCTTATGAACCTCAAAATGAGATGTCGTGGAGTGGATCCACTAAGTGATGATTTTGAAATTTGGCTTTTTCCTGCTCTGAGATGGCTCTCACAGTAGGGAATAGGGCAAGTCAGGCAGAATTTTAGGGCTTTACTCGGGCTGTCAATGCAGGAATCACATACCATGTCTTGTAGCAGAAGCATGTTGGACATCTCAACTGTGCAATCTTCCAGTTTGTTTTTGATGTTAACATTGTGTTTATTGCCCTTCAAACTCTCCACTGTATTACCGCTAAGAGTTGCCATGTGTTGTTCTTCGAAACTTGACCCATCTGATCTTTGAGACTGCTTTTGAGCCTAGGGACTGAACATCCTTCCTAGTTCTCAATTACAGACTCCAAAACTGACAATTTAATTAAATTTCAGTAAAACTAATATTATCATACACCAATATCATTTACAGATGACATTTGAGCCATTTTTAAAATTAGTTTTATCCACTGAGACAACTTCCTCATTTCCTGTCATGTAGCACAGACGGAACAATGATATTCGGGATCAGCAATCGTGTACTATCACTAGTGATACAACAATGGCGTTTTCACACCTATACTTCGTTAACTCTGGTCAGAATCAGTTGATGTGTTTGTAAACTTGTAGCTTTTTCCTGTTGTTTGGTTTATTTTTTCACACAGAGAAAAATCTAAGTGAACTCCAAGCAAATCAAATTGTGTCAGTTTGTTCAGTTTACCCATTGTCCAGATGCAACAAAAGTAGATACAAGAACAATTTGCTATGTTCTGGACTAATGGAGAACATGGAGAATTTATGTTCTTCTCATGGCTAGTTGCTAGCTCATACAGATCTTAGCACTTCTATAGTACTTTGCCGCACTGACAATACAAAGTATATGTGGCTATTGGATGATTTTTAGCTCAAATTTGTAATGTACACTGGGTAACTGGTTCATATTGAGGTCGAATAACATTCATACCATAAATGAACAGCTCTGGAGTCTGTTTGGAACGATACAGAAACCACCTTCTTCAAAGCGGCCTTGATGTGGTCAGTGTCAGTCTCTGTTTTGGTCTGCAAATGAGTGCGATTACTGTGTTCACACCTGCACATATAAACAGCACCAAATGGAAAAATGAACCAGAATTCAATTTACATGGATTAAGCACTGCCGCTGTGAAAACACTTTATGTGTGTCTTTCAAATACAGACACACACAATTATCTTAGAAGAAGCTTCAAATGCAAACTGTAAACAGGAGATGACTAAAGCAGGATGTTTAGTGATCAGTCAAAGCTATCTCACTAATGAATGGGCATTCCCAGAAAAATGACATCACACATGAACTCAATCTCACTCATTAGAGCTAATGCTCTGCATTATGTAACTGAGGTTTTTTCTGCAATCAGTGTCACTCTGAGTTCAGATGAAATGTTATATAGCAAGAAGAAGTAGTGCATGCACACACCCTTTAAACAAATTACATCATTAAAAACATTTTTAATAAGAGTAAATTCAACCTACATTTGTTTACAAAAGTTCAGATAGTAAACATTAAAGTGCTACTGAGCAAAGGTACATTAATATAAAGCACTCAGAGTAAACAAAAACAACAAAAACGCAATTTCATGATCCCACTTTAGTCTAATTCTACAGAGACATGTTACAGTGTAGTATGCACTTATTAAAAAAATACTGTGGTATTAGATTTTACATCACAAGTGTAATAACAACAAAGGATTGGCCTTCACTACCAGTGGGCTACTCTAGACCTGACGTGGCTGTCTGTATGTAAACATATACAGAGACAAAATATACAAATACAAGTAAATGTTACTTCAGTTACAAATAGTTATTAAAAATGCTGTTACAGCTTAAATCACACTAGTGTATTTCTAACAACATACGCTTTTCAGCAAATGCACAGGCACAAGCAATGCAGGCACATGAGGTCCAGGTTCACCCCGAGGGGGTTAAAAGGTTCAGGGGACACAGACCCCACAATCATCTCTCTGTTAACTGTGCCAAACGGCATACAATGTGCACAGTGCTACACTCAGATAAGGGTCTTTCAGTTTGTGAAACCATGCAGCACGGGGAACTCCAATAAACCAAACAGAGATATTTTCAGTGATCATCCTGAGCTAAAAAGACAGTAAAGGAATCCTGTTAAGGATTTATCTCATGCTTGATATATTCATCATGACAGTGTCCTTTTGGGTTTAACATCCAGCCCATATGTGACATTTACTTTGCAATGCTCCACTAACCTTTAAGGCCGGATAAGCACACAGCAGGATGGGTGACCACATCTTTCGTTATCTGTAGAACAGAAAGAAAAATAATGAATGTTTGTAAAATGAAAGATTCTCTGAAGAGCTATAACAATAAGACAACAAAAAAAGTCCAGAAACACAGTTTTGTCTTTGTGTTCTGGCATGTGACCTAATACCCTAAAAGATTGATTTTGATTATTTCAGCTATACTTTTTTTCTATATCCAGCTCTTCAGTTTTAGTGATGATAGCAAAATGCAGACCAGACAAGCATTTTTTCAGGATGGGATGTTTTTGACTGGCAGTCATCTGACCTTCGTCACAACTAGGTATGTGCTTCACTAATAAAGACCAAACATTAGGGAGGAAAAGAAATATCTAAGATTCATCAAGACTAATGCAGTAGCTGATCTATTAAAGTACTAGAACAACAGCAATAGCTACAAATAGAGTTAGAAATTAGCAATAGCTCTACACTATATGTGCAGCACATCAGTTCCATGTTCCATAGTGTTTCATATCTGAACTATGTTAAACTGCATTGTCCCTTTTAAAAAAATATAAACTAAAATTGAAACAAAAAATCTCAACACTCACAATTCTGTGTCCTCGATGTAGTCAGGCTCAACTAAAGTCTCTCGTCGTCTCTTACAGGCATCTAAGATCTTTTTCCTTGGTCCTAAGGGTATATGGATGCTCTTAAGGTCATGATCGGAGCACAGTAACAGCGCTGCAAGGTCAATCTTCTCCCTTTTGAAGATGGAGAAAAAGTCGTTCATGCTCTGGGTGGCGAGGAAGACCTCCAAAGGGCTTGTATCAGGCTCATCATCATCATCCAGCCCTAGTTCAACTTCTTCCCAAGGCAGTTCTTCAACATTTCTCTCCTGTAGGCTGCGTGCACTGCCAATGCTGTCTTCATCTAGACTTGGGTATTGCTGCAATCGACTGCGTAAACGCACATTATTGCTTGAACGGGCCACACTGGCTGCATCGTGACTTCTAAGGTCAAACATTCCTCCGCTCACATAGTTCCTCCTAAACACCATGGTGCCAAGACCGGGTCGGTTGAACAGGGAATCGTGTCCAGAATCAGTGCTGATCTCAGAATAGTCCACATCTAGTCCATGGAGGTCTGGCTCACTCATGGCACGTGAAATGGCATCGTCATTGTCTCTGGGAAACATGTCGCGAACATTGCGCCGGGCACGATCCTTTGGGTTGACATAAGTCCCTTGTTTGACAAACATGACATCATTACCCAATTGAAGTCCAGAGAGGGAGCGCACACTTTTCCTACCATCTTCGTAGATTTTAAAGGTGCCATCTCCTTGTTTTTTCTTCTCCAGCTTCTTCTGGATCTTTGTCTTCCCTCGGCTTGTGGCATGGAGAGTTGCCTGATAGGATAGTAAGCATGCAGCAATGAGGCGCACATCAGAAATGAAAGACTTCCATCTTAAAAGCTTTTTCAGATTTGAGACAAATATTCTTAAATTTTGTGTCTATCTTGCATTAGTAGTAACACATTTTAATTGATTTATTTAGTGTAGATATTTTTCACACTGTTGCCATCCTTTCTTGGTATATGTGTTTTGAATTCTTGGATGTGCTTCCATGCAAATTGAAATACACTGTCATTGTATTTACTACTGATAGCTTTCCCCAAAGCAATACATTAATTTTACTTATATGTCTTGACATCTTTGAATGGATTATCATGAACTTTTGCACAGTTTCACCAATCCATCCATAAGTAATCCATCTAGATCAGGGGTGGGCAATTCCAGGCCTCGAGGGCCGGTGTCCTGCAGGTTTTAGATCTCTACTTGGGTCAAAACACCTGAATCACATGATTAGTTCGTTACCAGGCCTCTGGAGAACTGCAGGAGATGTTGAGGAGCTAATTTAGCCATTTAAATCATGTTGGTTCAAGGACACATCTAAAACCTGCAGGGACACCGGCCCTAGAAGCCTGGAGTTGCCCACCCCTGATCTACTGTTAAGACTTAAAGTTAGGGATGTGGCAGCTTAACAGACAGGTGGGTTAGCTAGCTGTCTGGTTTTCTTCACCTGTGTTGTTGCTGCTTTTTGAAGGTTTTTCATGAAAAAATCTGAAGACAACATTTTGGCGGTACAGACGAACCAAGAAGTTTGTCATTTTTTTTTCAAGGTACTCTAGAATTTTATCAGTTTGTCACCAATTAGTAGGCATGCGCATTGTACCTGTCCAGTTTAAAGTGGCAGCTAACCAAGCTTGCTACATATTTTTTAGCACACTATCCTGTTCATATACAATCATTTCTGGCTACAAAGCACCAACGTGGCAGGAGTCAAAATGCTCACGATGAGGAATCAAAAAGCAGAAGACTTCATGGTGGTTACATCCAACTTTTACATACAGTTTATAGTCTTTCACCACTTGAAGTGGCTTATGCCTTATAAAGTGTAACATATTTTGTCTGTGGCTAAACAGGTATAGCAGCAGTTCAAGCCAGTGGCAAGGAAAGGCCTGGAAAAGCATGAAAAAATATAGAGTTGAGAACTCTATATCCTTACTCTTTTCAGGCTTTGCAATTAAGAGAAGAAGCTCTTTCTAGGTGGCAATAATCCAAAACAAAAAAACAAATTACAAACAACAAACCTGGGAATATGGCACACTGACAGTGGCTGTGTTTAAGTTGAGCAGCTTGTGGCTAAGAGAGCTGCTCGTGTAGCTGGAGAAACTCATGACATCTGATGCAGACGTCTCAGAAACTTCCTTGTAAAACTTTCTCTCCATACGTTTGTGGTGCTTCTTCTGCATCTTCATGCATTCTTTGATTCGCTGTTCAGCATCACGAAACGCCCGATCCTTCAGCTTGCTGACCAGCTTGGGATTAAGGCTTGTCTGCTTGGCAGCGATGGAATCCAGGTAGCGGACACAATCCATGTGATTCTTCGTGGCAGCCATGTCCAAAGGTGTGTGGTAGTCATTATCCAAGCACCATATGTTGGCACCAAAAGATACCAGGAAGAAAAGGCAGTTGAGGTGACCATTGGCAGCTGCCAGGTGGAGCGGCGTGTTCCCCCATATGTCACACTTGTCTGGGTTTCCCCTGAAGGTCACAAGAAAAGTGTAGACACATTTAGAAAGTAATTTATTGACTATTTGGACATTCTTATTCAAAATATGTCAATGTCAATTCAGTGTCATTTTTATACATTTAAAAGCAGCAAAGTTGACCAAAGTGCTTCACAAGTTAATGAAAAAGAGAAAAAAAAAGACATGAGATGAAGTAAAACACAATATATTTAATTAATTTAATATTAAAAAAAATGAGGTAGAGGATTCTTTCTTTCCGACTAGTGTTCAGATATCTCACTTGTGAGTAATCATGTGATTTTTGACCGTGATTTCACCACTGAACTGCCAATTACGGGATGTTAAATGGACCTCTTTTAATCATTTAAACCTTAAGAACTACATTAAGTTTCAGCAAATAACTGTTGATCTTCTGTAGTTTTGATCAATTGAAAAATGGATCAATTCTTTTTTTCACAGTTGAAGCACCATAATTAAATGAATCCTTTAAAAGAAACAATTGCCCTTCACTGACATTCCACGACCTTAGGGTTACCTCTATCTGTGTTGTAATGTTGCTGTCAGTCTGTAATATGACCACAAGCTTGCTGGTGCCACAGCTACACTACCTGTATCTTATTACAGGAAACTGTAAAAAGAATGAGCGCGTGAATGGCAATGTCACACTAAAGTCCACAGAACAAAACACATTGTTACAGCTGAGTTAGATTACTTTGAGGGCAAATTTTCCTTTTTTTTGCCCCTGCACATTTCCTACCCCACCACAGGTCGATTACGCACATTAGAGCTCATTATCATCATTTTTTACAAACTAGCATCCCATGAAGAAACTTTCTGGTAACTGTTCAAAAACAGCATGTATTCATAATGCACAACTTATGTGTGCCCAGTACACCTAAACCGAGGTAAATTTATTTTAGGCTATTATTTCTGTGGATTTTTTAAAAAGTATACAGTCTTTTGCTGGCATCACTCTTCCTGTATTTACATTCTTATTGAACTGTCTTGTATCTTATCCATTTCCTCCAATACAGCCACATACAGAGTGCTGAGACCAAGGACATGAAACTACTGTTGAAGTGAAGCTGTATTATTGATGGCTGCTGTTGCACAGTTTTCATTGGGAATGTATGTACAAAGTCCGCCATAGCTTAATTTAGCAAATCACACCACCTTTATGGACAGTAATAGATTTAAATATGCAGCTTTAAAAACAAGCATTATTTGAGTTCATGTGAAGAGTGACTTTTGTCAGTTTGCATGAGTGAGTGTAAACACCAACCACCCAGAAAGTAACAATAAAACAGAGATTAAACAAAGGCATCATTATTGCCCTTTTGTGCTGTAAAACACTGAAACGACATTATCTTTTCAACTCGGGTGAAAAGATAAATTGAAATTAGATATTCAGGTTGCACGTTGAGATAAAATACTTAGAACCTTCTACAATCTCTATACTCTATATACCATACAGTAGCTGCAGTAAGGGGCCATCTAACTTCATAGGTTTATGTATGTAATTTATACCTGTCCTTGTAAAGTCGATGATTACAGTAGAGCTCACATTTTCCTCATCTGCTCTTTATGACATTATGGGCTGTTTGCTTCTTTACTCCCTGTGACAGTTTGATGTTACTGCATCTGTAATATACTTGCCAAATACGGCAGAGGAGGCATCTTTCCCATGAAGCATGTCAGGCAGCATTAAACTTATCTTATATAATGGGGTCTCTTGGGGTTGAATTATTGGAGGATTTGATGTTTAATTTTAGCATCACATGTCAATCAGTAGTTTATATGTGCGCTTATTCGCAGAGGTGCTTAGCCGCTATCACCAGATGATATGTCTGGTCTGCTGTTGAGAACGTTTCAGAAACACTCTAAATTCATAATGGCCCCATTTGGGAGGATTTGGGGGGGGGATGCAAAACAGGTCAAGTAGATGTAATGATAAATGGGCTGTTCCATGTGAACACCAATCACATTTGTAGATTTTGCTCAATACGGACACGGAAAAGATGCAACAACTCCCTAATATGATCTAATTTGCTATTAATTCGATAATTATTTTTCTATCACTGGAATTACATTTTCAAAATATTACGGAGGGAATAGAGCAAACTGTCCAAGACAAACTCTGTTTTAAGGAACTTGCATCATCTTATCATCATGGAATCATGCGCGTCTGTTATAGGACAAAATAGATTTCTTTCTACATGTAATTCTCTGATTCTGTACTAGCATGAAATAACATCTCCACATCATGAGATGACTTTGAGCAGTGTCATGAGCTGAGCTTTTAAAATTTATGGTAGAGTGCTTCATTTGAACATGACACATAACACACGCTGTTATTTGAAATTCAAAGCTGTGTGTGACCTGAAAATAGATGGATAATAAGGGTTAAAGTGGCATCACAATGTTGGATGTTGAACCTCAGCCAAAATTCCACAGAAACAACGCCACTGTCTAAATTATCTGTTTAAAGAGGTTTTGTTCTTATCAAACAAAGATTTAAAGTCTAAATTAGAATATTAAGATCCCCCCCATCTGAAGACATAAGGTTCATTCAGATTTTGTGGATTTCTGATATTTCTCTGCTACTACGCTATAAATATATTCATATTAAAAGGCAGCCTCTATATTTTTAAGACCTGGCCTAACAGCATATCTACGTGGCTATTTTCTGTTGGTGAGACTGAAATTAGGTTACAGTAAAGAAAAACATTGTTTTAGTGTTATTTCAGTGCCTGTTAAAAGTCTTGTAATAAGTGTAAACATTTTATGGTTGTGCTACAAAAACGCCCGTAGTTTAAGCAGCCATGTCAATTTCTGCAGAAACATACGGGCTTATGCGTCATGTTTATGGCCCTTTATCATTTTGCGCACAGTCTCATAAATCATACTCACCCCCTCGACACAATCAGTCGCAGAGCTTCCAGGTTGCCGTGATAAGCTGCCCATAACGTCGGTGTCATGCCATCCTCATCCGGCGCGTTGAGATCCTTCCGAGTTGCCTCTTTAAGTAGGTCCAGGTAGCCATCCCGGGCCGCCTTATGGTATCTGTCATTCATGGTGCACAATTAAGTCACCCAGCTCGACCCCATTCCGACGCGTCAATATTGCTACCATCGTCTTTTTCGTGTGGGTACACAATGGTAGCTGAGCGGCTAAGGGGGCAGTTTACCCCCCTTTTCACTCAGAACCATTTGGTCAGATCAGACAGACCGCAGTGAAGAACGCGTCGGCGGTATCCAAGGACGCGCTGCAGTACAGTGCTTCCGGTGGCCGAAAGGTCCCAATTCGCCCAAACAGATATACAGCTGATATATTATTTATTTTTAAAGTGACATTCAACATGTCAGGGAACAAGACATGAAACACGCTTTACTCTACTAAAAAAAAAAAAAAAAAATAGCTGCCCTGGTTCTTTAATGTATTGTGATATTTGAAAATGCTATTAATATTTCTTTAAGTTTTCTTTATTATTATTTTTTTATTTTTCAAATTGAGTAATAAATCTTATTACATCTACTAGCTTTAAAAAATAAATAAAATAATTACACTAAACTACATTAAAGTTGGAAACAAATAAATTATTGACCTCATAGCAGTTGGAACACAGGGGACAAAGATTTAGTTGATTTGTTAATACTGTTTAACCTTTTGAATAAAGTATTATTCATGCTTTAAACCTTATGCTTCGAAGAAAAAAAGCAAGGCACACAAAGAATTATTTCATTAGGACAAAGGAGTGTTTCAAGAAAGAAGCACCTCAAATCTCAGCCCCACCCGAATGAAAAGAGCAATGCTGCCTCATACGTTTGTAAGTTCTCAGTCACGCTACTCAGATGAAACTTCGTTGAGGACACAGATCTCGATCATGTGCAACATCTGCCACAATTTATACGATAAAATAGATGGTAGATCACTTTATATCATGGGTAAAATTTGTGGCTGTTCATCACTTTGCACACGCATTCGCATAAATCCTTACCAACCCATTGCCACAATCGCCTGATAACACAACTGATAACACAGACCATAAAATTAGTGTCATGCCATCCGTATCCGGAAGAGATCCTTAAAAGTTGCTTCCTTTAGCAGGTCCAGGAAATCATTCCAGCAGCTTCGTGGTACCCGTCATTCATGGTGCAGAAGTGGCAGTCTGAACGTGTAGAAGCACACAGTGACACAGAGTAGATATCAGTGCTTCTGATGGTCGAGGTGGTCTGAAACTGAGATGACATCTTTGGGGCTCTAAAAAGAAAAAAAAAATCCAACCCGAAACGGAAACATTTCCTGATGTTTTTATTAATTTTTTTACACCACATTCCATCTGGTTAGGAAACAAAGACAAAACGTGCTTCACTCTGCTAAATGTGCCATTTTGGATCTTTAAAATAAATATCAATATAAAAAATATTTTAACATCTCTTCGACTTCTCGTTATTCTTTTCAACTCATTTTTCATGGTGTGTGATAAATCTCAATCCAATGTAATCGACTTCATTCAAATTGGAAAAAATCAGAGATATGAGAGGCATCATTATGACGTGGACACAGAAGACAAGAAGTGTCACTGTCCTTTTGAATCAACTATTGTTCTCACTTTAAATCTCCAGTTAGAAAAATGCATGGCACACAAAGAATGATTTCATTAGTACAAAGGATTGCTGCAAAAAAGTACCTCAAATCTCAGCCCCACCCCACTGCAAAGCGTAAAACTGCAGCATAAGTATGCACGTTCTCAGTAAGACTACTCAGACTACTTGGAACTTCCATGACAAAATAGAGATGATAAAATAGACAGGTAGATCGCTTATTTAAACGGATTAAAAAATGGAAACAACTTGAAGCACTGAATTAAAAAAAGATATTCTCTTAATACAACCTACACCCATTTAGACATCAATGGATTATTGCTGCCTTACAGTCGGTTCAAATAAATGTATAACAATAGGATCACAGAAAAAAAGAGGTAACATAAAACCTCGAAAGCATTAAAGCAAAAATTTGTTTCATACCATTTGTTTTTTTTTTCTACTCTGTTTGTTGTGGCCATGCTAGTAAAACTTCCATGACACCCATAGCGTACCTTGCATAACAATAAAATGTACTGTATAATATCAAAACACAGCTGTTTATGAGAAAATAAACCAGTTCCTTTTTTTTTAGTTTCTTTAGAATTTGTGAGAAAACAAGTCTTATTCTTGGAAACATCCTTTGAACTTTACAGAAACATTAAGTCCAAAACACACTCTGTTTGGAGTACTTTTTGCTCGTAGCAGATTTATTGATATTTATGACACTTTGTAGATCATACTACTGTGTTTTCTTGGGCATATAAATGCAGTGACTGTCTAGACTGCTCATAGGATCTTGTTGAGACAGGTAGGCTTACAGGTATCCAGTAACTTTTCACTATTTTTAGCTCATGTCCTGATTTTCGTAAAATCAGGACAGGAGCTTGATTTTTCTCTCTGATAAGCGCCATTTTTTAAAAAATAATATTATACAATTCTTTCACCTGCTCTGTTGTAATTCTTTATTTAGAAGGCATGGGATGCTGTTGGTGAATTCAAGAGAAAAGCACAGCTGATCTAGTTATATTTTAACTGCAGGAGATATTTTTTCTGATTTTGAACACATTACACATTATTGTACACACTATGTGTAGTAGAAGTGTGGAAATAGAATTTTGTTTGTTGATTTAAAAATTTGTTTTGTTTTAGATAAAAAGAAAAAGACCAAATTGTGCTGATTTGGCATTCGGAGAAAAGTTTCTTTTGCGCAGGATCACTCTACTAATAGCAACCAAGACTGGGTGTGGCTGTTAAACCTGTCTTGTCTTATATAGAAACAAATCCAGCAGAGAACTCACCTGTGAGCAGAGAGAGTAGCCATGTCTATCAGCTCTTGCTATGAGTTTAACTGTTTGACCACAGGAAATCAATGTGAACCCTGCAGAATGATGGCCCAGGACAAGGAAACAGAGGAGGTCCACCAGTCAAACAACATAAATTCACCTTGTCAGGAGGGAAGCAAGGATGAACCCGAACTGAAGATCTCTTCTGCAGAAGTTGGGAAGGAAAAAAGCCAAAGTTGGGGATGGATGGGATCTGGGATCATATGTGTAAACATTTTGATCCTGGGCAGTGTCTTGGTCACCGGGAGTACTTATGAAGATATAAATATCAAAGCCCCTCACCTGCAGATTTTCCTCATCATCATCCTCCTGCTTACCTCCATGTGGATGATTTATTACAGCATCTACACAGCCAGGATTAAAAATGCTGTCAATTACAAGGATGCCCACGCTGGGCCAACATGGCTCAGGGGTGAGTAAATGTTCAGTTCAGTTTAAGTATTATTAGGTAGTTTTACGATTTTTCATCCGTTCTACATCTTCTTTCTTTTTTGCTCCTCCAGGAGGACTTGTGCTGTTTGCAGTCCTCAGCATTATCATGGATATTTTCAAGATTGCCAGCTATGTTGGATACCTCCACTGTGGTTCTGCAGTTAAAGTTGCATTTCCCGTGGTGCAAATTGTTTTCATATTTGTGCAGGTAGAAATGAATAATAAAATGCTCCTTACTACATTTAATCTGGTCTTGATGGTTGCAAAATAATTATTGAATAATTGTAAAATCAATTTGTAGACATACTTCTTGTGGGTCCATTCCAAAGACTGCGTGCAGCTACAAAAGAACATTTCTTGGTAGGTAATTAAGATATTTTCTACCCCTTTCTTCATCATGGTACTTCCGGGTGGTATCTATTTCGATACAGGGAAAGTAACCTAGTTACTGTAAAATCTCTTGTCCAAGAAGCTGTGAAAAATATCAGAGTAACTTTATACTGGAAATGCTGCAGCCACCAATTATGCTTTTCACTGTCTATGATTCCCAGACCTTCTGAAGGTCTCTTTTTAAAAGGAGGCTATAACCAGTAGTTACCATCTGTATTAAAAGGTGTAGAAAAAGTTCATGTGAATTGTTTTGGTTAAAAAATTATTTAAAAAAACCTCAAAGGAAGTTCATTTCCTATAACAGTGAAGTAAGAGAACCAGTTTATATTTAAAATTTAGATTTGAAACTCTTTGCTTTAAAAGGAATTTCCATGCTGATTAATCAGGATTTAGCTTGAAACTATAACAATAACCTGAAACATTACACTCATAGGTATTATCTGATATGTTTTATGTTGGACTATCTAATCCTTGTTTTATTTTACCTTCTTTTTATCCCTCAATATTAGTTGTGGGCTGATGCTCACCCTCTCCACAAATCTGGTTTTGTGGATGACTGCAGTTGCTGAGGAGTCTGTTCACCAAACGTTAGTTCCCACCAATCTGGACAACATCACTAAACTCACTGGGCGAAGTTTGTACATCAGTAGAGGTAATTAAAGCAGTTTTTAAAAAAATGTACTAGATAAAAGAGTCGGTATGAAACCACAACATAATTCTTTGGTTTCATGTTTTGCAGCAAGTTATGGAGACCGTGAGTGTAAGTGCAGCCACTCTTCATGTAGCATCTTCAAGGTTGCCTACTACTACTTGTACCCTTTCAATATCGAGTACAGCCTCTTTGCATCTGCTATGGCCTACATCATGTGGAAAAACGTGGGTCGATTAGTAGGTGAACATGGCCACGCCAAAATCAAATTCCGTCTTAACGGCATATATATCGGTCCTACTTTTGGAATCCTGTTAGTGATCGCAGGGCTGGTGACCTTCATTGTATATGAAATGGAAATGAAAAATGAAGATGCAAAAACCAAAGAAGAAGCATTGATGATGCACTTTGTCATGAATATAGTCATAGTGAGCCTCATGTCTATTGTGACTGTGCTCGGCATGATGATTTACAGGGTTGATGACCGCGGACACGTGTCAGAAAAAAGTCCCACACGCAACTTGGATGTGGGGTTGCTGGTCGGAGCCTCACTGGGACAGTTCGTCATAAGTTATTTCAGTATCATAGCCATGATTTCAACAGGAGTCAAAGACCCCCTGAATAGGCTCGATCTGTCCTTTGCCATAATTATGGTGATCCAGCTTGGCCTGCAGAACTTTTTCATCATTGAAGGTCTGCATCGGCTGCCTTTTCACGAAGTGAAGGAACCATCTGTGATTGTAAATCCTTATGTGGTGGAACCCGGCAATGACATGAACAACCACGAAGGCTCAAACACGAACACAGAGACAAGCCCTGATATGCCAGAAGATAACCTGCAAGGCGACAAGATACAGTACAAATACAAACCGTTGTGGAAGCGACAAGTGTTGAAGGAGGTCTGCATGTTTTTGCTCATGGGAAACATCATTGTGAGTACCTCGTCTCTCGCTGCCTTAAATATGGTTTTTAAAAACTCACTAAATATTAAGGCTCTC